GCCCGCCGCGGCAGCGCCGCCGCCGCCGACGACGGCCCCAGCCGCGGCGGCTCTGGCAGAGGGGGAGGGCGCTCGGAGGAGGAAATCGAGGAGGGAGACAAGGCCAGGCACACAAACTTTTGGCGCTGCGCGCGGATTTCTCGGATCCGCGCTGGAGACCCCTGGCGGCGCCTCCCGGAGCCGCCCCTGGCGCGCTCCGCGCGCCAGGGAGGGGGTTCCAGCCCAGATCCCAGAAGTCCGCGCGCGCGCGGAGCGCCAAAAGTATATGTTTATGGTGTTTTTCTTCTTTTAGATACCGCTGCCCTTCCCTCTCGTTCTCGCAGTTTTGGGCCTCCTGGAAGGCCCTCGCCGCCACCGCTGGATTCGCGTCGGAAGTCTGCTTATCACGCACCTCAGGTATCGGTGCCTTTTTGTTTCCCCAGGCGCCCCTTCCGGCGGCGCCGGTGCTGCGTCGGGAGAGGAAGACACTCTCGGGCGGTTTGCGCAACCACTGGAGGTTTTTGGTGCCGCCCCCCCCCCTGGCTCCTCCTCCTCCTCCTCCTCCACATCCTCCTCCGCCGCCTCCTCTCCTCCTCCTCTCCTCCTCCTCCTCCTCCTCCTCCTCTCTCCTCCTCCTCCCCCTCCTCCTCCCCTCCTCCTCCTCCTTGGCTCCTGGCTGGCAATCAGCTTCGCGCGGCCCACGCTTCCGCCGTGTCCCTCTCCTCCTCCTCCTCCTCCTCCTCCTCCTCCTCCTCCTCCTCCTCCTCCTCCTCCTCCTCCTCCTCCTCCTCCTCCTCCTCCTCCTCCTCCTCCTCCGCGACGACGTCGGCGGCGGCGGCGGCATAATAATCATTTCCCAGGTAGCTCTGCCGAGCTATCGGGCCATGTGTCCCCCCCAGCCGTTGTAGGAACCCTTCGGGGTGCTCCAGGACCGTCTTTGAGGCCGTCTTGGGCGTTTTGGACGCCCCTTGGGCCCTCTTGAGGCCCTCTTGGGGCAGTCTTGGGTGCCTCTTGGGCCGTCACGGGGCGGGCCATCTTGGAGGCCTCTTGGGCGATCTTGGGGCGATCTTTGGGGGCTCTTGGGCCGTTTAGAGCCGTCGGAAGGCCGACAAATAACAAATGCCCAAATCCTTCAAACACTCGGGGGAGACCACTGATGTTGGCCTCTTCGGGCCTTTCTGGAGGCCCTCTTGAAGCCCTCTTGGAGGCCTCCTCTGGGCCTCTTGGGCCCGTCTTGGGCCTCTTGGAGCCATCTTGGGCCGTCTTGTTGGCCTCCTGGCTCGTCTGACGCCGTCGGACGCGTTCTTGAGGGCCTCTCTGGGCCGACTTGGGGCCCTCTTGGGGTGCTCCAGGGCCGTCTTGGAGGCATCTTGGGCCGTTTTGGAGGCCTCCTGGGCTATCTTGGGGCTCTCTTGGGGCCGTCTTGGGGGCCCTTTGGGCCGTTCTGGGGCCATCTTGGAGGCCTCTTGGGCGATCTTGGGGCGATTTTTGGGGACTCGTGGGCCGTCTCGGGCCGTCGGAAGGCCGAACAGAAGCACATGCCAACATTCTTCAACAATTCATGACGCTTCGCGTTTCCCACCAGCTCTTTCGGATGCCTCCTGAGTTTTCGCTTGCGGCCGCGACAAAAAAAGTTTCCCACCAGCTCATCCCAAAACAGCAGCTTTTTGCGGAGTATACCGACTGACGTGGGTTTCGCGCGTACCTCCTTCTGCCTTCGCCTATCTCTTCTTGTTCCTCCTTGTGGAAGGAGTGGGAAGAGGACGGGGCGGGGGAGGAGGAGGAGGAGGAGGACCAGGAGGAGGAGGAGGAAGAGAAGGCGGTGGGATGACAGAGGAAGAGAGCGACGCTGGCGACGACGACGACGGCGATGACCACGACAATGACGACGCACCCGACGACGACGACGAAGACGACGACCACGAAGACGTCGATGACGACGATGAAAGGAGGAGGAAGCGGAGGAGGAGGAAGATGAGGAGGAGGAGGAGGAAGACTGAGGGCGAACAGAATATCCATAAGTTGAATGACTGTCGGAGTCTCCTCTGGCTTCATTTGGAAGTGCAAATAAGGAGGCGGATGAGGATGCGGGGGAGAGTGAGGAGGGAGGAGGGAGGAGGCGGAGGAGTCGGATAAGAAGGAGGAACCGGAGGAGGAGGAGGAGGATGAAACAATGACGACCGGAAGAGCTTCCTCGGATGTCTCTTGTTTTTTTCCCAACCATCCTGTGGTGTTGGGTGCTCGTTTTGCAGAGACAGCGCCCCGCGTCACTCACTCCTCTTCCCCCTCCTCCCTCCTCCCGTCATCATCTCAATCATCATCATTATCGCCATCGTTTACCACCAACGTCATCACCATCATCATCCTCATCACGACCGCACTCATCACCACCATCGTCGTGATCAGTGCCGTCATCATCACCATCACCCCTCACACGCTTCTTGTCCCCATAGGGAGCTCCACAAGGCCCCAGTGCCACCGCCCGCATTCGTCACGCACACCCATTTCAACACACCACTCACACGCTTCGTGGCCCCATATGGGGCTCCACCGAAGGCCCCAGTGCCACCGCCCGCATGCGTCACGCACGCCCAATTCGGCACACCTCTCGCCCGTTTCGTGGCCCCACAGGGAGCTCTACCGAGGGCCCCAGTGTCAGCGCCCGCATGCGTCATGCACACCCATTCCGGCACACCCCTCACACGTTTCGTGGCCCCATAGGGAGCTCCACCGAAGGCCCCAGTGCCACCGCCCGCATGCGTCACGCACACCCATTTCGGCACACCCCTCGCACGTTTCGTGGCCCCACAGGGGGCTCCACCGAAGGCTCCAGTGCCACCGCCTGCATGCGCCACGCACACCCAATTCGGCACACCTCTCACATGCATCGTGGCCCTGCAGGGAGCTCCACCGAAGGCCCCAGTACCAGCGCCCGCATGCGTCACGCACAACCATTTCGGCACACCCCTCACACGTTTCGTGGCCCCACAGGGAGCTCCAGCGAAGGCCCCTGTGCAACCGCCCGCATGCGTCACGCACACCCATTTCGGCACACCCTTCACACGTTTCGTGGCCCCACAAGGGGCTCCACCGAAGGCCCCAGTGCCACCGCCCGCATGCGTCACGCACACCCAATTCGGCACACCTCTCACACGTTTCGTGGCCCCGTAGGAAGCTCCACCGAAGGCCCCAGTACCTCCGCCCACATGAGTCACGCATGCCTATTTCGGCACACCCCTCACACGTTCCGCGGCCTCATAGGGGGCTCCACCGAAGGTCTCAGTGCCATCGCCCGCATGCGTCACGCACGGCACACCCCTCACACGTTTTTCTGGCCCCACAGGGGGCTCCACCGAAGGCCTTTGCGCAACCGCCCGCATGCGTCACGCACACCCATTTCGGCACAACCCTCACACGTTTGGTGGCCCCACAGGGAGCTCCACCGAAGGCCCCAGTACCAGCGCCCGCATGCGTCACGCACACCCATGCCGGCACACCCCTCACACTTTTCGTGGCCCCGAAGGAAGCTACACCCCTCACACTTTTCGTGGCCTCACACTTTTCGTGGCTGCGTTCGCATGCGCCCGCCGCACACATGTCGGCACACCCATCACACGTTTCGCGGCACCATAGCGAGCTCCACCGACGACCCAATTGGCTGCCTTCGCATGCGCCCGCCACAATTGTTTCGGCACGCCTCTCAGGCGCTTCGTGATCCCATAGAGAATTCCACCAACAGCCCCAGTGGCCGCCTTCGCATGCGCCCACCTGAAAAAATGGCACCCCTTACATGTACCGTCGCCCTATATGGAGCTCCGAATGCGGTGAATACAACGACGGTGTTCACAACTGCATATGGTTGGGTTTTTCGCCACGCTCACCTTGTTTGAGGCCTCTCGGAGCGCCTGGGGGCATCTTGGGCGCCTCGGAAATCATCTTGGAGCTTCTTGGGGGCCTCTTGGGGACCACTTCGAGGCCTCTTTGGTGCATCTTGGGGCCGTCTGGGCGCCTCTTGGGGCCATCTTGGGGCGCTCTTGGGAGCCTTGCGGACGCTCTTGGGAGCCTTGGGGACGCTCTTGGAGCCATCTTGGAGGCCATCGATCAATCAAGAGGGGTTCTCTAATTTGGGCTGCCCCTCAGGAGCCCCAACGTGGACTCTTGGGGCGCTTTTGGAGCACTCATGAGCGCTCTTGGGGCCGCCTTGGGGCTCTCTTGGGCCTATCCTGGGGCCCTCTTGGGCCATCTTGGAGCCACCTTGAGGCCTCGGACGGCTATCGACAGCGAGCGGGCGCTGATGCGCAAATCATTGATGTTCATTGGTATTTGACGGATGTTGGACTCTTGGAGGTCTCCTTGACGATCTCGGAGGCCTCTTGGAGCTGCCTTGGAGCGGTCTTGGGGCCTCTTAGAGCATCTTGGGAGTTATCTTGAGGCAACTTAGGCTATCTTGAGCCATCTTGGAGCTCATCTTGGGCTCTCCGAGGCGGTCTTGGAGCCGTCTTGGGCCATCTTGGACGCTCCAACTACCAGCGACCCCCCCCGTCCAGGTCCAGGGGAGGGGGTAGAGGGAGGGGTCAAGAGTCCCCCTCCCGCCCGCAAGCCGTCTCGCTCACTCCCACCCGCCCTCCCAACACATACGTAGCAGCCGAGCCTGGCCCGAGCCGCAGCATATACAGCACTCGTCTTTGGATGGGCAGCTACTGGGGGCGCATCCGCCTCCGCCGCCGCCGCCGCCGCCGCCGCCGCCCCCGCTGCCGAATCGCCACCGCCGCATCCGCTGCCGCCGCAGTCGCTGCCGCCACCGCTGCCGCCGCCGCCGCCGTCGCCGCCGCCGCCGCCGCCCCTGCCGCCGCTGCCGCCCCCGCCGCCGCCACCGCCGCAGCCGCCGCAACCGCTGCCCCCGCCGCAGCCGCCGCCGCCGCCGCCAAGTGTACTTTGTATTGTTTTTTGAAAGGGATGGTGGGGGGATGCCACATCGGGTTCGCTGCGAATGCTTTGCATTTGGAGGCAGAGTGTGTGTTTGTATTGTTTTTACACGGGATGGTGGGGGCAGAGTGTGGTTTGTATTGTTTTTTACAAGGGATGGTGGGGGGGGCGCATGGACTTGGATTGGCTCCCAGTCGCCTGGGGGTGGGGGTTTATATTAGTAAGGAACAGTGATCAAGACCCCCGCCCGCGAGCCGTTTCGCTCACCACCACCCGCCCTCCCAACACATACGTAGCACTCGACCCTGGCCCGAGCCGCAGCATATTCAGCAGTCGTCTTTGGATGGGCAGCTACTGGGGGCGAATCCGCCGCCGCCGCCTCCGCCGCCTCCACCGCCTCCGCTGCCGCCGCTGCCGCCCGCCGCCGCCGCCGCGCCGCCGTCGCCGCCGCCGCCGCCGCCGCCGCCGCCGCCGCCGCCGCCGCAACCGCTGCCCCCGCCGCAGCCGCCGCCGCCACCAAGTGTACTCTGGATTGTTTTTTGACAGGCATGGTGGGGGGAGGCCGCATCGGGTTCGGTGCGCATGCTCCGAATTTGGAGGCAGAGTGTTTTTTGTTTTGTTTTTTAGAAAGGGATGGTGGGGGGGTGCCCGCATTGTTCTTGGTTGGCTCCCAGTCGCCTGGCCTCTTCAGGGAGGCCATCTTGGAGGCCTCCTGGGCCGTCTTGGAAACCTCTTCGTGGCCTCTTGGGCCGTCTTGGGCCGTCATCGATCCATTTTGGGCCGTCTTGGTGGCCTCCTGGCCCGTCTGACGCCGTCGGTCTTGGGGCAGTCTTGGGGGCCTCTTGGGCCGTGCCGGGGCCATCTTGGAGGCCTTTTGGGCGATTTTGGGGCGATCGATCTTTGGGGGCTCTTGGGCCGTCTCGGGCAGTCGGAAGGCCGAAAAAGAAACAAATGCATTTTGTGTTGTATAAAAAATGGGACAATCAGTGATTTGGGTTTTTTCGGGCCTTCCTGGAGGCCTCTTGGGCCGTCTTGGAGACTTTTTGGGGGCCTCTTGAGCCGTGTTGGGCCATCTTGATGCCATCTTGGGCCGTCCTGGAGGCTTCTTGGGCGGACTTGGAGGCATCTTGGACCCTCTTTGGTCGTCTTGAAGGCCATCTTGGACCATCTTGGAGGCTTCTTGGGCGAACTTGGAGGCTATCTTTGGCAATCTTGGCCGTCTTGGAGCCGATCTTGGGCGTCTTCGGGGAATTGTTGCGGACGTTGTGCTCGTTTCTGGTCCTTTCCGGGTGGCTGGCGGGACGGGCCGAAGACCCAGGGGAGACATCTCTTGGAAACACAGCCCAATTCAGACCACAAGGATCTAGCACGCGGGGCACCCCTGTGGCAAGACCACAGGGGGCGGCGGATCGAAGACGCCTACGGCGAATCACCGCCGCCCCCTGCCTTTTGGAATCGCCCATGTGGCCGAGCGTTGTGGCAAGAGCTCTGCCAAGCTATCGGACCATGTGTTCCCAAGCCGTTGTGGAAGCATTTCGGGGAACACTTTGGGGAGGATGGCGGGGCAGATCAGGAGGAGGAGGAGGAGGAGGAGGAGGAGGAGGAGGAGGAGGAGGAGGAGGAGGAGGAGGAGGAGGAGGAGGAGGAGGGGGGACATCTTGGGAGCCTCTGGGGTCACTCGTGGGGCTCCTGGGAGCTTCCTGGGAGACTCTTGGAGGCATCTTGGGGGCCTCCTTGGGCTTTTGGGGGACTCTGGGGGCTTCTCGGGGGCCCGGTTGGCAGTTTTGGCACATTCCTGGCCCGTCTGACGCCGTCGGGAGCCGTCTTGAGGGCCTCTTTCTCTTGGGGTGCTCCAGGGCCGCCTTGGAGGCCATCTTGGGCGTCTTGGAGGCCTCTTGGGCCGTCTTGGGGCCCTCTTGGGGCAGTCTTGGGGGCCTCTTGGGCCGTTCTGGGGCCATTCTGGAGGCCTCCTTGGCACACTCGGGGGCATCTTTGAGCCATCTTGGGCCGTCTTTGCGGCTTCGGCGGGCTTGGGCCGTCCTTGGCTGTCTTGGGCGCCTCTTGGGCCGTCTTTGGGCCTTCTGGGGCCGTCTTGGCGCCCTCTTGGGACCGTCTTGGGGGCCTCTTGGACCGTGCCGGGACCATCTTGAAGGCCTCTTGGGCGATCTTGGGGCGATCTTTTAGGCCTTTTGGGCTGTCTCGGGCCGTCTGACGGCCGACAAGAAGCACTTGCCAAACTCCTGCAACAACCTAAGGTAAATCAATGATGTTGGCATTTTGGGGCCTTCCTGGAGGCCCTCTTGGAGACCTCTGAGGCCTCTTGGGCCGTCTTGGAGGCCTCTTGGGGCTTCTCGGGCCGCTTTGGAACATCTTGAAGCTATCTTGGGCCATATTGGTGGCCTCCTGGTCCGTTTGACGCCGTCGGACGCCGTCTTTGGGGCCTCTCTGGGCCGACTTGGGGTGCTCCAGGGCCGTCTTGGAGGCCATCTTGGGCGTCTTGGAGGCCTCCTGGGCCGTCTTGGGGCCCTCTTGGAGCAGTCTTGGGGGCCCTTGCGCCGTTCTGGGGCCATCTTGGAGGCCTCTTGGGCGATCTTGGGACGATCTTGGGGGCCTCTTGGGCCGTATCGGGCCGTCTGAAGGCCGACAAGAAGCAAATGTCAAACCCCTTCAAACACCTGAGGAGAATCAATGATTTTGGCCTTTTTCGGTTCCTCCTGGAGGCCTCTTTTGGCGGCCTCTTGGGCTGTCGTGGAAGCCTCTTGGGGGCATCTGGGGCTGTCTTAAGCCATCTTGCGCACATCTGAGGCCGTCATGGAGGCTTCTTGGGCAACCTTGGATGCATCTTGGATTGGGGCGGACGGCTCGGATTTTCTGTTCTTGTTTACTCGATTGGGCCATTTTTGGGGCTGGGGCTGTCTTGGGCGCCTCTTGGGCCGTCTTGTGGCGCTCTTGGGCGGTCTTGTGGCCCGCTTGGTGGCCTCTTGGGGCGTCTCGTGGCGATCTTTGGGGCCTCCTGGACCCTCTTGCAGCGTCGGAAAGCAGAAAGGGCGAGCTTGCGGCCATCTTGGCCGCCATGGAACGGTCTTTCCGCCTCTCGGGGCCCTCCTGGTCCGCCTCGGGGGCCTTTTGGAGCCCTCGCCGGCCCGTCCTGAGGCCTTCTTGGACCCGTAACATGCCATGCGAGAAGTTGTGCGAGGACCCCCCTCAGGGGGCACGCGAGAAGCCCACGAAGATTTGGCCATTCGAGGTCCGTTCAGAGACTCCTCAGGAGTGAGGACGGAGGCTTGGCGGATGAGGGAATGGACCTGAGGGCACGCCCACTCCGTGCCCAGAGGCACGCTGGCGGATTCGTGGGGGGTGAAGAGATGCACGCCGCTGTGCTCTAAAGGGATCCTGAAGGGGCCCCCTTGGGCCACAAGAGGGGCACGAAAGGGGTACGTTTCCCCCTCCGCCTCCCCTGAGCCGCCCACCCCACTCAGCATCGCCCGGCGCTCCTCCGATGCGTCGTGCGGGTGTCCCTTCCTCGTGCTCTCGCCCCTCTCTGGGCCACGCGGGCGGGGAGCTCCGCCGCCACGCCCAGGGGCTCTCCTCGGCGTCCTGGTCAGAGCGCGCCCCCGGGGGGGGCCCTGGCCCCAGCTACCCTGACCATTGGAGACTTGAATTTTCCAGCCGCGACCGACGAGACCGGTCACTGCCGATTTGCCTTCAAATTTCAGTATCGGTCACGACCGATTCGCTTCAAAATCGGCCGCGACCGATTCGCTTCAAAATCGATCGCGACCGGTCGCGACCGACTCTGGGATCGGGCGCGGTCGGTCGCGACCGATGTGGAGTGCCGATCGGTCGCTGCCGGCTCCGACCGAACACCGCTGGGTATATCCGATGACCGGGGTGGGCCCCGGCGCAGAGGTTCCGGAGCGGCCGCGGCGCTGCGCTTCCGCGCGTGGGAGGCCGGCAGCCTGCCGCCCGTGCCGCCGGACGCCCCTTGCGAGATCTGGGAGGTGCGCACGCCGGAGGACGACGAGCCTGTCTTCCACCACCAGCACCAGAAGTTGGAGGGGGGAAGGAGGAGGAGGACGAGGGCGAGGAGGAGGAGGAGGAGGAGGAGGAGGACGAAGAGGAGGAGTAACAGGAGGAGGTTGAGGAGGAGGAGGCGGAGGAGGAAAGGAGGACCACCCCCCCTCCAACTTATGGTGGTGGTGGTGGAAATCACGCCCATCAGAGGACGTGGCCGCGCTGCTGGCGGGCTGCCCGGCGGAGGCCGCGGTGTGCTGTGGCTTCTCGAGGGCCCACGCCGTGGGCATGGCGGCACAGGCGGCGGTCCTGCGCGCCCTGGCCGCGGCGCAGCCCGCCGGGATCGTCTTCGCGACGGTGGACATGGACGCGTCGCCGGAGGTGGCAGGAGGGACAGATGGTCTAGGCCTCCTGGATGGGGTCCGAGTAGATTCGGAGATTGATAGACCTGCTACCCTGACACGTCGATTAAGGAATCGGCCGTTTTCGGTTCGCGAGAGGGCATGGACCCGCCGAATCTAGGCCTCCTAGATGGGATCCGAGTAGATATGGGGTCGGAGTATCGCGTCGCATCGCCGATGCATCGGTGGTGCAGCTCGATGTGGAGCCCGTGTTTCCCCGCGCCGACGTCAGCCGATGCATCGCCGACGCCGCCGCCGATGCGTCGCCGATGCATCGGCGATGCATCGGCGATGCGGCGCGATCCTCCGACCCCATCTACTCGGACCTCGTCTGGGAGGCCTCTAAACGAGCGACGCAAGACAGGACGGGGTCGTTCACTCCGACCTTGGCGCGTACGCTGCCCGCGCAGGTCATGCGTAAGCGCCCTCACTTCAAAGGTGGCGTGCCGCGCGGGCGGCCCGCGTAAGCCGCTGCGTACGGCCGCTGCGTCATCTCGCGTAAGACTGTCTAAGACTTGTTCTGATCGTCGCTCCCGTGGGCACAGACACAGATGGACATTGATTTCCATGGAACTGGGAAGAAGGCAAGGAAAAGGTGGGAGAAGAGGAACAAACAACCCGGAAGATGATCGGGCCGGACGAGAGGGGGGCATTGGGAAAGGGGGGCTTACGAACTCTGATGCATGCAGCTGGTTTCGGCCCCAGCGAGGGGCCCATTCCTCGATACATGGCCGTCTCTGGCGCCGGGAGGCGCCGGGAAAATCAGCTAGGTGATCTGATTCTCACCCCCCCCCCTTTGCTATCCCCCCTTTTCGCCCGACCCGTGATGAGGACGGATGGCAGGAAGCCATGGAATTCGTGTCTGTTCAGTTTTGCCCCCCCTCTGCTGGAGGTGGCCGCGTGGGCGGGCGCCGTCGCGCCCGGGTGCCGCCTGGTGCAGCCAGACGGCGTGCTCCTGGAGGTGGTCACTCCCGCCGAGGCCCGGCAGGGCGTCCTCCACAAGAAGGTCCTCGGCTGGGCCAGGAGCAGGAGGGAAAAACACACAGACACAATTCATCGTCGATTCCCTAGAACATATGGGAAAATATGGTCCGTGGGGGGGAAGACAAGAACCCAGAAAATATAGGAACACATGGGGAATCCTGTTGTTTGTGCCGATTTAGTTGTGTGTCCCAGGGCCCCTTCACAGGAGCTGGTCGGGGGCGGCCAGGATCAAGCAGTGGCGAGGCGTCCAGGTTCGCCTATATAGGCCCACCAGAGAATGTTCCAAGACCCTATTTTGAGAATTGCGCGAGATGTTCTTAGAGCCATTCTTGCTGAGGCTGTCTTGTTTCTTATATCGGGTTTATGTTATGTCTTGTTTTTTTCCCCAACCCTCCTCGGTTGGGTTCTTGTTTTGAAGAGAGCAGTGGGGTCGCGTCTCCTTCCTCCTCCTCCTCCTCCTCCTCCTCCTCCTCCCCTCCTCCCTCCTCCTCCTGTGTTGGGTTCTCGTTTTGAATAGAGCACCGCCTGCGCTTCTCCTTCCGCTCCCGCCCCCCCTCCTCTCTCCTCCCTCCCACTCGCGGACTCAGGGGGGCTGCGATCTGCGAAGCTGTTGCCGCTTTCGAGGGCTGCTGGGGAGGCCAGCAGAGAGGGTACTCACCGCAGACCAGAATAATAGCGCGCCATCCCTGGTGGGTTGCGATCTGCGAAACTGTGGCCACTCTCGAGGGCTGCTGGGGAGGCCAGCAGAGAGGGCACTCACCGCAGACCATAATAATAGCGCGCCATCCCTGGGGGGCTGCGATCTGCGAAACTGTTGCCACTTTCGAGGGCTGCTGGGGAGGCCAGCAGAAAGGTTACTCACCGCAGACCAGAATAATAGCGCGCCATATGTGGGGGGCTGCGATCTGCGAAACTGTTGTCAATTCGAGGGCTGCTGGGGAGGCCAGCAGAGAGGGTACTCACCGCAGACCATAATAATGGCGCGCCATCCCTGGGGGGCTGCGATCTGCGAAACTGTCGCCACTTTCGATGGCTGCTGGGGAGGCCAGCAGAGAGGGCACTCACCGCAGACCAGAGTAATAGCGCGCCATCCCTGGGGGGCTGCGATCTGCGAAACTGTTGCAACTTTCGAGGGCTGCTGGGGAGACCAGCAGAGAGGGTACTCACCGCAGACCAGAATAATAGCTCGCCATTCCTGGGGGGCTGCGATCTGCGAAACTGTCGCCACTTTCGAGGGCTGCTGGGGAGGCCAGCAGACAGGGTACTCACCGCAGACCAGAATAATGGCGCGCCATCCCTGGGGGGCTGCGATGTGCGAAACTGTCGCCACTTTCGAGGGCTGCTGGGGAGGCCAGCAGAGAGGGTACTCACAGCAGACCAGAATAATAGCGCGCCATACGTGGGGGGCTGCGATCTGCGAAACTGTTGTCAATTCGAGGGCTGCTGGGGAGGCCAGCAGAGAGGGCATTCACCGCAGACCAGAATAATAGCGCGCCATCCCTGGGGGGGCTGCGATGTGCGAAACTGTCGTCACTTTCGAGGGCTGCTGTGGAGGCCAGCAGAGAGGGTACTCACCACAGACCAGAACAATGGCGCGCCATCCCTGGGGGGCTGCGATCTGCGAAACTGTTGCCAATTTCGAGGGCTGTTGGGGAGGCCAGCAGACAGGGTACTCACCGCAGACCAGAATAATAGCCCGCCATCCCTGGGGGGCTGCGATCTGCGAAACTGTTGCCAATTCCAGGGCTGCTGGGGAGGCCAGCAGAGAGGGTACTCACCGCAGATCAGGATTAGAGCTCGCCATTCCTGGGGGGCTGCGATCTGCGAAACTGTTGCCACTTCCGAGGGCTGCTAGGGAGGCCAGCAGAGAAGGTACTCACCGCAGACCAGAATAATGGCGCGCCATCCCTGGGGGGCTGCGATCTGCGAAACTGTTGCCAATTCCGAGGGCTGCTGGGGAGGTCAGCAGAGAGGGCACTCACCGCAGACCAGAATAATAGCGCGCCATCCTTGGGGGGCTGCGATCTGCGAAACTGTTGCCAATTCCAGGGCTGCTGGGGAGGCCAGCAGAGAGGGTACTCACCGCAGATCAGGATTAGAGCTCGCCATTCCTGGGGGGCTGCGTTCTTCACGACGATACCCGCCGATCCATCGGGCCACTTGATGCAAACGGGTTGGGTACGTCGCAGGATAATGTATATCGGGTTTATGTTATAAGATCAGCGCTTTTGTTCTTAGAACATGTTTGGCCTGAAGGAGTACTGGGACGGTTGGTCCATGCTCAGCAAGAGGGGTGTGTGATGACTTGGGGGCGGTGGACATCATGCTGGCGGCCATCATACATCCTCAGATTTCATCACGGCGCCTCTTGCTGCTTCAATGCGTCACTGGCCCCCCCTCCCCCCCCAGGCCCGCACGTGCCGCCGGCCATGATATGCGCCCCCCCCTCTTGGACGTCCTCCCCTGGGACGCCCCCGAGCTGGGGAACGAAACGTTGCAGAAACACTAGCTTAAACACTCAACGCGCGGCTTAAGTCTAAAGCCGCATACCCGCACACTGTCGGAGCTCCGCGTGGATTTCTCGGGTCGGCGCTGGAGTCCCCTCCCTGGCGCACGGAGCGCGCCAGGGGCGGCGTCAGAGGCGCCGCCAGGGGGATTCAGCGCCGATCCAAGAGATCTGCGCGGACCTCCGCAAGCTTATGCTTACGCAATGTTCTGGGCCAGGAGCGTGTTCACTGCACTACATTATGTTTGTCTACCACTTAGTGGCACATGACTAAACGCATTGCGTATCTGTGTTTCAATACCTGTCGCCCAGACAACCAGCCAGACAATCATGCATTGCATGTTGTCCTATGGCGTCTCTGAGGAGCCCCACGGGACAGGGCCCAGCTGCGTGAGTGTCTACACGCGGGGCTCCCAGCTTCCTGCTTCCCTGCAGGAGGAGCGCGGCGAGCGCCGGCCCGAAGCTCGAGGCCCTGGCGCGGAGGTTCCCCGGCGCCCTGTGCGCCCAGGCGCGGACGGCGCCGGCCGGGGGCGACGTCTCCAGGATGCGGAGCAGCGGCGTAGAGGCGCTGCAGCGCGGCGGGGACACCGCGGCCTGCCAGTCCTTCGAGGCCCTCTGCGACTGCTGCGCCCGCGGCGGCGCCGTGGCGCGGACGCGCGACGTGGCCGCGCTCGCCCGCGCCCTGCGCTCCAGCAGGGGCGGGGGCGAGCCGCTGCCGCTGCTGGACCTGTCCCGCCGGCTGGCGGCGCAGAAGTTGCTCGGCACCGGCGAGCCAGGGGCCCACCAGGCCACGAGGGGCAACGTTGGGGTGTGAGGGGGGATACCGGAGAAGAAACAGCGGCACAGACGGAAACTTTTGGCGCTCCGCGCGGGTGTCTTGGATCCGCGCTGGCTCCCCCCCCAGCGGCACCTCTGACGCCGCCCCTGGCGCGCTCCGTGCGCCGGGGAGGGGGGTCCAGCGCAGATCCAAGAATTCGCCAGGATTTTTTGTTTTTTCTTCTTCTTCTTCTTCGATAGGCTCATGGGGGGGATGCATCGACTCCCAATCTCTCATTGATCGCCGATGGGTGCCCGATAGGCCAACCCGCCCAGGAACGTGCGGTTTCGCCCTCGGGGGCCTGTCGCCGGTCTACCGGCGATGTGTCGCCGATTCCAGGTCGATGTGCCCCCCCCCCGAGCTGGTCCCCCTCTCTGACGCCACCCTTCAGGCCATGGAGCTGCTGGTGGACGCGGCGCTGCAGGTCGCCTTCGCGGACGAGGGGCCCCCGGCCCCTGCGAAGCACCAGCAGCTGGCGCTGCGGTGCGTGTCCGAGCTTCTGGGGCAGGCAGGGCCGCCCGCGACCCGAGCCGATGCGATTCGATTCGCGTGTTGGGCCGCGCTTCCTCGGCTCGATGCGATTCGGCTCGATTCGGCGGCATCGGCCAGGGCCAGCCGGAGCTGGGCGCGGGGATGCTTTGCCGACAGGCTGGCTGTATAGAATAAGTTGTTCCCGCCACTGGGGGCGCCCCCCCCCAGGGCTGCTAGGAAGTTTATACCCCTACGGCATGTGGGGCGTGTCAACTTCCCTGCCGCCCTGGGGCAGGCGTCCCCGGTGGCGGAAACGCTTGTCGTACACCGTTCTTTGCCGGCTCCGATCCGATGTCCGCTCCGATTCGGGCCGACTCGCTGGCGACCGGATCCGTTTCCCGTTCGACTCGATTGCGAAGGCCTTACGGCCGGTGCCGCCGACCCTGAGAACGACGAAGATGAAAACGAGGGGGGGGCAGGGGAAGGTGGAGGAAGGTTGGAGGAGGTGGACGAGGGAGGAGGAGGGGGATGGCTGTGCAGGAGAAGCAAGAGAAGGAGCAGGAGGCGGAGGAGAGCAGGAGGCGGGGGAGCAGAGGGGGGAGGAGGAGGAGGAGGAGGAGGAGGATGAGGATGAGGATGAGGATGAGGAGGAGGAGGAGGAGGAGGAGGAGGAGGAGGAGGGGCACGGTTTCCCGTTCGACTCGATGTCGCGCCGTTCGGTGCGGCCTGGGCCCGCCAGGCGTCGCTGGGCGAGGCGCTGCTCCCCGTGGCCGCGGCGCTCGTGGCCACCGGCAGCTGGGCCGCGATCTGGGCCGCGGCAGCGGCCGATCGCCCCCCCGCCGTGGCCGAGGCTCGACGGGCACGGTGCATCGCCGACGTCGCCGATGCGTGGCCGACGCATCGGCGATGCATTGGCGATGCGGCGCGGTCTTCCGACCCCGTCTACGCGGGCCTCATCTAGTAGGAGGCCTCTACATGAGCGGCGCAAGAAAGGGGCTCGTCTTCACCGACACTGGCGCGTGCGCTGCCCGCGCAGAGTTGCGCGTAAAACTGCGCTTTCGTTTTCAGTGTGGCGTTTGCGTGGAGGACCCGTTTCTTGTCGTCGCTCGAATGGGCATTCCGAATTTCATACGAAAGTGGGGGGTCACAACCCTCCCAGACGAGCAATCTTAGGGCCCCCCCCGACCAGCCATGGAAGAGCGACCATTTGTCCAGACCCCCCGAGCCCTCCAAAACAGCTCAAACCAGACCTCACCAAATCAGACCCCCTTCCTTTATTCGACAGTGGTCGCTGTCGGCCAAGCGAGTTTGCACCTCAAACGAACAACAACACTGGCAGCGAGCCCGTTTCAAAATGTTCAGGAATTGTTGGCGGTCTTCGTCCCCATCATTTTCCGCCCACTTCGGCACAAACGTGAAATTTGCGACGGCCCGTGCGGGCTTCTCCAGAGCTGGAGAAGTCATTTACCGATACCGCCATCCTTCTGCCGTTTTCTTCCTTCTGGCCCTCCTCGGAGGCCCTCGTCGCCACGGCTGGATTCGCCTCGAAATTCTGGTCAGAGCGCACCCCGGGAGAGGCAGGTCCACGGAGCAGCAGCCTCGGTGCCTTTTCGAGTTCCCGCAGACGCGAATTTCGGACGGTCCGCGCGGTTCTCTTGGATCGGCTCTGGGGTCCCCTCCCCAACGGCGCCTCCGGCGCCGCCTGTGGCGCGCGGAGGCGTCGGAGGCGTCGCCGGGGAGGGGGTCCGGCGCAGATCCAGGAGACCCGCGCGGGCCTGCGACAGTTTCCGTCCCGAGGCGGGGGGTGCATCCACAACCACCGCCTGGGGGATCGATCCTCGGGGGCCTCGGCAGGCGGTGGATCCGGATGCCTGGTCGGGCCCCCCCTGGGGCCGAAGCGTACCCCTATCCGCCGCCCGCTGGGGTCCGAAGACGTCAGTTCCCAGGCGGTGGGCGTGGATGTGCTTTCGTCGCGCATACGGTGGAGCTCCATGCCAAGAAGCACACCGCTGGCCTCCAGGGTGCCCTGGGTTTCTCGGTTGCCGATGGCTTTGCGATGGAAAGCGTGACGCTCCCACACCCAACGTCAATGGACGTCTTGGGGTCTCAGGGTTGGGTTTCTTGTGGAAGGTCTCTCGTGGTCGGGCCCCCCGCATGTTTGCACCACCTGCTCCTTCACTGGAGGCGGCAGCGGCGCTGCTGCTGAACGGCTCCGTCGCGCTGCGGGGCGCGTGCTGCCTGGTTGCGCACGCCCCGCTCCTCGCCGCTGCCCTGGATGCCCTGCGGCGGTGCCCAGACAGCGAGGCCCTGAACCTGGCCGTGGGGAACCTCCTGGCCGTGGCCTGCGACGAGGCGGGCGCGAAGCTCGAACCTGCGGGCCCCAAGAATTTACACCGCCACCACGTCGGTTCCTCCCTCCTCCACCCTCCTCTTCCTCTCCTCTCGCCTGGTAGAGGGAGGGGGTGAGGGAGGTGGTGGTGGTGGTGGTGTATATGTCTGGGCCCCGTAGAACCAGGATTACCGCCGGGGTCGCTAAGAGAGGATAGGGGGTTCTAAGGGGATGCCCAGGTGGATTAGAGCTGGCTTGGCCTAGCCTGAAGTCGGGAGTGCCCCTCTACAGGAGGAGTACCCAAATATAGTGGTTTTGTACAGAGACGTTTTTTTGTTTGGTTATTCTTGTTTGTTATAGTACTTTGATAATTGTTGCACATGTTTTGACTCTGCTTCTCTTTCAACATCCGCCTGTAGGAGGACATGCCCGACATAAGCCTAGCCTACAAGTGGGTTGCAAGTGCCCTGAGCGGCTTATGGGGGGCAAGGATGTGAGCTCAGTGGGCGAAGCCCATTTAGCAGAGGTACCCGACCCCTTCCCGCCACTCAGTGCATGTGTAGCCCATCTATCGGCTACGTTCCGCCAGACCTGACCCACATTCGCATTCACTTAGGACGCCCCCCTTAGCAACCTTAGCTGCGATCCAAATGGCAAGACATCGACGGGAGGTTTCGGGCAATTCTCTGCCCCTCGGGGCCCTCGCTGGGCTCCGGAGCCGTCAAAGAAAGACTGAGTAGGACAAGGCAGCCCTGGGAAGGGCTTCAGGCCTCTGGGGGTCCACGATGGGGGGGATGTGGGGTGTGTGGGGTGTGGTAGGGGCCCTCATTTCGTGTGCCGAGGAAGAGAAGCTGCTCAGACATACACTTTCGGAGCTCCGCGCGCACTTCGCTGGATCGGCGCCGGGGCCCCGTCCCAGGGCGCGACAGGGGCGCAGCCAGAGGGAGGCGCCTGCCAGGGGGGCCCAGTCTTAAGTCGGGCGTGTCCCTTTACAACAGGAGTTCTAAAAGATAGTAAAAAAAATAGTGTGGGGACCATTTTTCGCAACTGTTTCATTTTTCCTCCCAAATCCGCCTGTAGGAGGACATGCCCGACCTGAGCCCAGGCGCCGATCCAAGAAGTCCGCGCGGAGCTCTGAGGGTTCGGACTAATGCTGCTCTCTCCTCTCCTGGAGGCAGACGCCAAGCGCGCTCTGCAGTGCCAGCCGCTTCCGCCGCTGAGGGCCCTGGCTGCCGCGCTGTTCCGCGGGGACCTGGACGGCAGCCAGCATCGTCCAAACTGTCCCCGTCCCCAGCGGGCCGTGCCATCTCGGCCCCACCAGCCCACCCTCCCAGGTGGGGATGGGCCCTGCGAAGCCCGCAGGGCACAGCACGTATCCTCGGGCAGTGAGAGAGCGCCCACCCAGGCAGTCGACCGAGGACCCCTGCACCGGTTCACTCGACAGTCGCATCCGAGTGTGCCGTCGCAGTCCCCAGTCGGTTTTCTAATCGCTGTGCGTTTCGCCGGATGCATTCTGTCGCTTCTGGTCGTCGACTGACTACCCGGCCGTGCTGGACTCGGGATGCGGTGCTGGGCGCACGTGGAGTGCCCCTGGCAGCTTTCCCTAAACAAGGAGGGGAACAAAAACACACAGGCACAATGCATCGTCGATCCTCCAGAAAATATGTGAAACTATGGGAAGTGCGGGGGGGAGGACAAACCCCCAGAAAACATGTGGGAAAACATGGTGAGTCCTGTTATTTGTGTCTATTTCTTTGTGTGTCCCAGGGCCCCTTCACTACAGGGCGTTTTGCTGAGTGGGTGTCTGGTCCATCTTCGACATCCCCGCCCAGGTGGGCAGGTTGGCCAGAGGGGCCAGGGCCACGCCGGAGGGATTTTTGCTTGGGATGCCGGCGAGCTGACCTGCACGGAGGGGGAGGGATGGGGTGGCGTGGCGAGGCCCGACAGGAAATTATGGGCTTCGCGTAAGTCGAGACACCCCTTTACGCGCCTGCTCGGCGCAGCGCTGCCTGGAAGGGCGGCGCAAAGCCGCCGAAGGGGGGGGGGGGAATGCCATGCAGGTAAGCTCGCCCGAGTCTCAGGAACAAAAAACGGCCTCCCAGCTGGTGCACCCAGGCCTCGCAGGTGGGGCCGGAGCTGATGGTGTCGGAGGATCGCACCGCATCGCCGGTGCATCGGCGATGCGGCTCGGTGTGGGGTCAGGATTTCCCGACGCCGACGTCGCCGCGGCATCACGGACGCATCGCCGACGAGGCAGCGGCGATGCGGCGCGATCCTCCTGCCCCATCTGCTCGGACCCCGCTTGGGAGGCCTCCCAGTGATAGGTTCGGCAATGATACTACAGGAGGTCCATCGAGAAAACCAGCCAAACTCTTAGGAACATCTTCAGCAGGAAACTCAACCTCCCCAAAATCTTCAAACACCTCTAAGCCCAAACTTTCGAAACTCTCAAACCTAAAAACACTTCAGCAAATATCTAAGCCAAAACCTGGGAACATCTCATCCCGAATTAAACTTGAAACCGAAACTCCAGAACAACTTGAAGCATAGATATTGAACAAAAACAGATACTTGATGCGTGGGAGGCCAGATTGTTCTTAGAGCCTTTTACGTTCTTTGTAAACTGTCCTAGGACGCCAGGGATTGCATTTAGAGCCTTCTTAGAGTTGCCCAGAGTTTTGGTTTCAGTTCGTCAGGCGGTCAGACATTTGTTCAGAGTTGTGTTCGATCTTTTCCAGGATTATTGTAGAGTTGTTTTAAAGTGTTCAGGTGTTTAGAGTTTGTGTGAGTTGTTTGAAGGTGTTTTAGAGTTGTCCAACAGTTTTCTGGCGGTTCGAGTTTTTACATATATACATATATATATATATATGCCTATGCATGTAGTTGTCCGAGCCTGATTAGAGTTGCATTGGTTGTTTTTAGAGTTCGGGTTTCAAACTGTTTGTATGCTTGAGATTTCCCCAGGATTCGGCTTAGAGTTTTTTGAAGTTCTTCTGGAGTTGAGGTTTTCGAGTTTGAGATGTTCGCAGGTTTTTGCTTAGATATGGTTTGAACTTTTCCGAGTTTGAGATCCTTTTCGCAGGTTTTGGCTTAGAGATGTTTGACAGTTTTTTCAGAGTTTGAGATTTTCGCAGGTTTTGGCTTAGAGTTTTTTTGAAGTTGTTTTAGAGTTTGAGTTTCTTCGCGCGATATGGCGGTTGACCGCCTGTAGTCGCTATTGCCGATCCTAGTCCCAGTGGGTGTATCGGGGGCGGATAGAAGCCCCACCCTGACACGTCGATTCGTGAACTGTCCGTTTTCGGTTCTCGAGAGGGCGCCGCGGCCGTCATTTTCCAGGCCTGCGCCCGCCAGGTTTGGGCCCGAGGTCGTTTTCTTTAGACCACGCTCTACTACAGGGGCTCCTGTCCATCCCCCAGTGCAGAGATCCGCTCCGCGGTGCTCAGGCAGGGAGCTTCGCGCCTTCCCCGCGGCGTGGCGCCCCCAGTCGCCGCCCGAGGCGGCGGCGGGGCGGCCGGAGGGCGCCGGGGCGGCGGCGGCGGAGGGTGCGCGGCGGCGCCCGCCGCTGCCCTCGAGGCCGGGCTGGGGGAGGGTACTTGCGGTTGGCGCTGTCGGGGGCGGCCAAGAGGGGGGTGATGATTAACCCTGGGAAGCAATCAGTAAACCCCCCTCCCCCCCCCCCCCTCATCAGAGGAAATTATAACGCTTCCGGCACCGGGGCCGGGGCGGAAGCGATATCCCCCGCAGGTCACCAGAGGTCCGCGGAGGGGAGGTCCCCGGAGGTTCCCAGGAGACATCCAGAAAGGCCTCCACAAGCATCTGAATGCCCGGTCCCCTTGTAGTCCAGAGCCCAGCGACAAGGCACACCTGCCCAGAGTCGCTTCCTGTGATTATGTGCGTTTCTGTGAGATTCCTCAGAGATTCCTCTGATACTCCGATTGGCTTCTTTTGAGATTCCTTGCCGTTTCCATTGTGATTATTTTGGGACTCCTTTGAGACTCCTCTGGTGTTCCTTTGATGTTGTTTCTGGGGGTCCCTTGAGGCTCCGGTCATATCCGTTTGATACCCCATTGCTTAAGAGAGCATCACATCGACATCCGGGGCCGGTGGATTATTATATTTTTAATGCATGTGCTAACATATCGCGGGGGGGTTCGCGGAATGCGTCTGCGAAATCTCTCCGTGGACTCTCCCATAGGATCCCCTGAAATAATCAATTTCCCTAGTGCGGTCGCAATAGGGATTGCTTATGTCCACGCGAGCCCGCGTTTTCCAAATTCTTTAGATTCCTTTGTGGTTCGTTTGAGCTGCCGCTGAGATGCCTTTGCGATTTCTGTTGGGCTCCTTTGAGATTGCTTTGAACTTCCATTGGTTCCTTCGATATCATGCGTGGGATTTCTTGTGATATTCTTATGGGATTCCTTTGAGGGTTCTTTCGAGTTCCTCTGACATTCCTTCGACAATCCCTGAAGGGAGCATCCCATCGACCTCCGGCGCCTGTGGATTATTTTCTTTTCAATAAATGTGCTAACATATCGCGGGGGGGTTCGCGGAATCCGTCTGCGATATCCCTCCGTGGACTCTCCCATAGGACCACGTGAAAAAAACAAATTCCTTATTGCGGCCGCAATAGGGTTTGCTTATGTCCACGCGAGCCCGCGTTTTCCAGATTCCTTAGATTCCTTCGTGGTTCGTTTGAGCTGCCGCTGAGATCCCTTTGCGATTTCTGTGGGGTTCCTTTTTGAGATTATTTTGATTTTCTAATAGCGATCCTTTGAGATTCTGCGTGGGCCTCCGTCTGAGATTTCTCTGGGATTCCTTTGGGTGGTCCTTTCAAGTATAGTTACTTGCGGTGACTTCATTGTTTGTCATTTTTGATTTACCTTTGATTTCCGATGCGCGTCAGTTTCCCAGTGTTCTAGCAAGGCGGGAACCCATTGGCAAGCGTTCGTGCGCGTTGGTTATTCAGGCTGTCGCCTCGCGTTGCCGCCAGCTTCGGGCCTGGGGGGGGGGCAAATTAATTAATTATATATTTTATTTTATTTTTTAGGTGCTAACGATATCGCCGGAGGGCGCCGCCCAAAATAATTATTTATTTTATTTTTTGTGCTAGCGATATCGCCGGGGGGGTTACTGTTTGCTTGCCAGGGTTAGCAGGGGGGGGGATATCATGGCGTGGGCCGTGCTATCTCCCCAGATGTCATGGCGCCTCTTCTCGTTTCGTTGCGTCGCCGGCCCCCCCCCCCCCCGGGCCGCGCACATGCCGGGGGCCACGATTTGCGCCCCCCCCCTCTTGGACGCCCCCCTCTTGGGCGCCCCCGAGTTGGGGAGGTGGCGTGGGTCGAGCTGGCTGCCCTGGAGGCCTGGCTGGGGCGCGTTTCGATTCCTCCGAGCCGACTCGAGCCCGATCGCCTCCGATGCCGAGCCGACTCGGCTCCGGATCCCGACGTGACTGGGCTCTGGCTCCTCCATGGAGGCCTGGTGGCCTCCCGATGTGCGCCGAGTCCTCCCGACTCGGCTGCCCATGTCCGCCGATCCGTTTCATGTCGATCCCCCACCCGGCCTATCGATGCGGTTCCGGGCTCGCCTGGCTGGGGGGGGGGTATTCCTTATGCGGTTGGCGTTTGGAATGGCAGCGTGCGGTGTGGCGCCGTCCGGCCCGCCTTTTGCACAAGATCCCTCGAGAGCGGCCCCTGCCGGGGCCACACCGCACGCCTGCCAGGGCCTCTGCGGTGCATGCGATCCCCGCGGGGTGCCAGCCGTGCTGCAGGACCAGCGTCTGCATGGTAAGGCCTTGGTTTGTGAGCTAAGCCGCCGAATTGGTGATGCATAGATCCCCCAACCCCAAAGTAAATTGATACCTAGGTCCGCAAACCCAAGCATAGGGAGGTAGAAAATTTAGAGTTACCAGCTGTACGATTAATGCTAACAACTTAGTCGTTGAAGTGATCGCCACATCGTTAGATGATAGGATGAGTGTCAGAAGAGACTTTCGCCGATACATCTTCTTGCCCTCCCCCAACAGGTTAGAACTCGTCGGGGCGCATCGGGGACTTCGCTTTTCACCCATCTTAAAACTGTCGGCGCACGTTGGGGAAGAGGGTCACGCCCGAACTCTTGGGGCCCAGTGGACTCTCGCGCTAATGGCCTCGATGGGGTCGGCGGATTGAGCTATGATTGTCTCGATCAGTCAAGAAACCGCGCAGCGATGTCAGTGTTTTAGACACACCGTGCAAAAGCGGAGAAGGAGTAGGAGGAGGAGGGATGGGGAGTAGGGCGAGGAGGACGTTAAACCAACTACAGAAGAGAAGAACACTTCACACAATTTGACACATCAGTCCTCGCTTGTATACCTTCCCCTTCCTAATGCAACGTGTTCCTCGGAGTGTTTCGGCCAATCGTGTTCTGCCGCTCCTCCCCGTCCTTCTGCTGGTGACGTCAGAGGACTCGGGGGTGAGACATCGGTGCTGTTTCTCTTCCTGCCAACTTTGCTGCTCTTCATATCGGCGCACCGCAGCCATAGCCATTTTGGCTGATTCCATGGAGGAGCATCACGATGCAATCGACTACGATGACCCATGCCACAGTGATTGTGGCGGCATCGATGGTGATCCACAGCCTGTGATTGATGATGTGTCACCGTCAGCTGCGCCAAGGCGCAAACGAGGCCGCCGACCCAATGCACACGACGAGTTCGGAGGGTTGTGTGTGTTTCTGATATGTGCGGCTGAATCCCTCATCGGCTTCACGGTGACATCCCAAGTGAATGCATTTCAGCCAAGATACGTGCACGCAATTGCCTTCGGCTTTTGGGAGGCAGTCAGAGCAGATAGGTTTGCTACCGAAATGAATGAACATACGCGGGAGCTGTTCAATGACATGCAACGCCTCGTGAACGAACCAGTCGCGGGGGCCATTATGTACAAGATAACAACTGCATCGACCCTCAGATGGCCACTCAGACTACCATGCGGTTTCGTTGATGTGTGGAGGTGCTGTGCATCCGAGTTGTGCGAGAATACGTTCGACGACACCGACGCTCAACACGAACTTCCATGTCGAACACTCGTTGAGAAATGGGCTCGGACTCAAGACATGACAATGGTTGATATAAAAATCGTCACGGTATTCACGTCTCCAGACTACGCTTCTCAAATAAGCAACGCATCTCGGATCCTGAAGATCGTACCTCTCTCTGCAAAGTGCAGGTTTGGGCGGCAGCTACTGCCGAATGGGCCATCTCCCAGAGAAGCTCTGTACTGGAGGTCGTGTTTTTTATCGCAGTGCCCGCCTGAGGTGATTAGACGAGCTGGGCCCTTCAGTGTGGTAGCACAGCCCAGGTCAACAGAACTACTCGGATGCATTCCCGCCAACGTCGTCGTTGATTTCCTTTCAGCCACTCGGTTTCTCAAGAGCTTGCATTATATTGAACCCGCCAGAAAAGCTTGGGCGAAGATCATATGCGGTCATGACCTGGAGAAATCTCGGAAAGTGTTGCTCCGCACAAGTAAATGCAGTAGAAATGTTGTTCGCCTGGGCAGGATCCGCTTGGGCGCCGTGTGTATGCTATTGACACGTATGCTGATGAGAGACACGCTCGGCACTGCCCACATCTACCTGTTCACAGATGGCAGTCCGCAGTGGAGGGGAGTTGAACTGATGGCATCAACAATGGATTGTATTCGGTCATCGCCATCATCCTGGGAATGCTCGCGCATATTACTTCCTGTGGTCAGAATTGGCAACCGACAATTGAATTTACAGGGCAAGGCATACGCGATCTTGTGGAAGATCATGCTGCTTGTGGGCCCGTCGTTCGAGAGCATCCGCATGTTTTTGACGAGGGTCGTGTCCATCACGACGGACTTCGGGACGGAACGTTTGTTGAGTGCATGCCCTGATGTATTGATCGAATTCTGTGGACACGTGGGCATCAGAGTTCCACGCAATGTATCTCGCCACGAAAGGTTGTTTCCATTTGCAGTTGTGGCTCCAGGATGGATGCACATCGTTGACACCGTTATCAAGCGAGGGTTGAGCAGTCTGGAGTGGTTCCCATCGTTTTTGACTGGTCTGAAAGCTGTTTTGAATTTCTTGAGGTTTTATTCTGCTGATATACAGGTTGCCGTTCGACAGAGGTTCACTGGAGTCGCTCAGCTTCTCGACTCAATTGCTGTCCCCTACTTTGCAGAGTGGAGGTGGGGCACGCTCCACAAGGCATGCAGGGCAACGTCAGTATTGATTGACATAGTACGGCGATCATGGGACGACTGCACCTTCGTCAAGAAGATTCGGGACACCACCCTTGTCAGGAGAGTGCAAGCATCGATTCATAACGAAGCGTGGCTTATTCAGTACAGGTTCGTGCGGTGGTTCGCTGGGTGGTTGACGGACTTGCAATCGTGGGGAGGGTCGTGCGTGTGCCATCAGGACGCGTACGAACAAGGCAAGAAGGTCGAGTGTCAACGGAAAGGGAGGCTCCTTCCTTTTGCCTGGCAGAAGGCGCGTGATGCACTCGAGGACGGGATGGGCGAGATCTACGGTTGGTCACTCAGCGACTTCGGCGGCAGCGTGGA